GCTGTAACCGGGCAAGTCTCGAACGATAAAAAAAGTGTTGAAAAAAATAGAAAAGATACAAACAAAATCTACTAAAATATGAAAATCATATAACGAATGTGATTAAAACAAAACACACTCAAATGAAGTTGAAAATTATTGAAAAAAATGGATTTTAACGAATCGATTTGTGCCATGGGTATTTTTAAAATTTTCTTAAAAAGATGGGAAAATATAAAAGTGAGTATCAATGACCATAATTTTTTTATTCTTTACCATAATGTAAATAATATTAAAATAGTGTTATAAAATCGACTTGACCAACACTTTTTTAAAAGAAAATAAAAAAAATTAAGTTATATACAATATAGACCATTATTTTTGTAAATACGTAGTAAATGACATATTGGTTAATAGATCTAATAGGCAACTAATTTGTATATGGTGCATTGATTAGTGGGTTTAATAACAAATTATTTCTTTACAAGAACTTTCAAGTTTGTTCGATTCATGTGGGCAAGTAAAGTTTTTTAACTTCTTACCAATGTAAGGGTTTAATAACAAATTATTTCTTTACAAGAACTTTCAAGTTCGATTCATGTGGGCAAGTAAATTTTTTGAACTTCTTATCATTGTAATGAATTCTTAGAATTGTTAAAATGAACCACACCAATGTTTAAAAAGAAAACCGCTAATGGCAGGATTCGAACCGTGGTCCGTATAAACTATCGTCGCCAGCACTAACCAATACGCTATTCTAAAATATTTGATATAAATATGAAGTAGTATTCTATTTAAACTTTAAGAAATCGGTTGATCACAAAACCGCCCAAAATAGGTTCTGATATAACCGGGCGGTTAGCGGTTAGAGGTTAGATTGGCCGATTTTGCGAACACTGGTCAAATCATAGAGCCTTTATACACAGCCACTCATGTGAAGAAAAGAGAGATACGATTTGTATGTCAATTTTGCTATTAATGAACTTAGTTAATGATAGAAGAAAAGGACTTCTGCTAGGATGTCTCTTGCTTTTGCCACACGGGCAATGCCTGTGTCATTGGCTAGTATTTCTATAGGGTAAGTATTCAGCGGTTCCCAAACCATCAAAAATTGTTGTTCCTCCACCTCATCCAACAATATTTTATCGGATGGACCCAAAAGAGTTTCAGATCAGTTTCCAAAAGATTTGATTTGGAGCTCCATAAATGCTCCAAATCCACCACCCCAGATTCATATTTGGACTGCCCATTTGAATGGATGGTGGATTTGGCATCCATTTCAGATCTTCCTTTGGAGTTTTTTCTTGGATCTCAGCCAATTTAAAGTGGTGGATCAGTTTAGAGCAGCACCGGTTTTGGGGATCTGTGAAGCACCAAAGGACTTTCCTAGTTGTAAGTGTATGCGTCTATTTTTTCTCATGGATTTTACTTGAGTTACACTGTCTCCCCCTTCCACCCTTTCCCCCTTGATTTTACATCTCCGACAACTTACTGGAGAAATTTTTGCACTGTTTTACCAATTTCTTTTTTTTTATCCCACTCACAGTCTCTTCCCCTCTCATAAACCTCTCTATCTCTCTCTCTCTGACACATACACACACAGTGTCAGCACTATCTCTCCCTCTTTGTCTGCTCAATTTTAACCACTTCCCAATCTTTCAGCCTAACCCCTTTGTCCCCTCCCTCTTACTCCTTTTCATTGTCGCAGCTTCTTTAACAGCCCATTCTCTTTTGTGCATATGCACACACAATAAAGAGAGAGAGAGAGAGACCATTCTCTCACTACATGCTGAAGACTGCTTTGAAATCCAACATTTGTTAGTAGTGCATAAAGCCAAGCCAACTCATCACGGGTTGAAGAAGCTTTGTGCGATTCTCGAACGCTTGTCATGAAATAAATATCAGGTTTCTTACCCTGCCTTTGAAACCAAAAAATATTTGATAGCTAGTTTCAGATTTCTATTTGTCCGAACACTCTACCTGTTCAAGTCTGTGGATGCTATTAGCTAAGCATTTGATGAGAAAGACATGAAGAAATTGAACATTTGATACTATTTTTATCGAATGAGAATGATTAGCCCTGTGTGCGTTTTTGCATGTGCGTCTTTGTGTGTGTGTGTGTCCTTACGATGTGCCTTGATAAGATCTTATATATATATATATATATATATATATATATATATAGAGTAGAAACCAATTATGTGGATGCTTCCAATGGCCTACCTTTAATTGGCATAAAGCCGTGTGGTATAGGGGACAAACTTGACTAAATGTGGTAACCACTTTCTTGAGGACAATGGATCATTGCGCACTGGGGGCTGTTTTGTCCCAGGTTGGTGTGCCTTCAACATAATGCGCTCATGGAGGAGGCTTCTAGCTAAACAATTATTCTTTTTTTCTCTATTTACGTAGTTATACAGCTCTATAGTTAGCAGATCAATGTATCGTGGGGAATGGTTCTCTTTGGTCCTGGCCAGTTAGGATTCAGGGACATTTGAAGTCCACTGAATAAATAGTTATTATTGCTCTTGATATTGGAGGGACACTTTGAACATGTTTGGTCTGCTACTTGAATTTTTTGGATGCATGGCCATCCCGTTGGAGTGTTTAGCTTTATTTGTTGTTCCACTTTAGAGTATGAAGAGCCTGGGTTTTACTGGTGATCCTCAAGGATGTGACTGCTGCATGTTCTGGGAAAATCAGAATTTCTAGAATTGGCACCTTAACCTTTTCTATGGCAGTTACATAGGTTATGGCATAAGATAGATAGCAAAACTTAGTTTGATTTCATTCTATTTGCAAAATACCCTGATGCTTTATGTAGATTCCTATCGATATTTAGTAGTTGATGAATTGACTAGCGTTGTCTGCTATTACTGGTTGATCCGTAAATATTGAAACCTTATGTACTTTTTGTTCCCTACTGAAATGCAGTGCTTTAACGTTGCTCCATTATAGGCAGGACGATCAGACCTAACCTAATTCATGCTTCCATAGGAATGCATACTGACATGAAGGAATAAAGGCACATGCATCTCAGTGCAGATTTTCTACTTAACATCAAATATTGATTGGGCCACACAAAATGTATGCTTCTGTTATTTATTTCTTGAAAGATAAAGGGGATAAGAGTCGCAGCTTTAGAGCTTAAATCTCTGCATTTTGTTTTAAGTTGGTTTCTATTAAAATGCCTGCAATTTTTTTCTTGTTGATACAACTATGTTTGTAAACATCGTCTCTAAGAACCAGTACCATGGATTACCGCCTCTTCTCAGTGTGATGCTAAGCATGAGCCGTCGTGAAACAATATGTCATATCCATGTTGAAATCCATATGCTTGGTTCTTGTTGTAATTTCTTTTTGGTAACATGAAGAAACCTAACTTCCTCCTGCTGGAGCATTAAATGGCCTTGCTATGGTGTTTTCTTATTTGTTTTCCATGAGATGTTACAGTGTGAATTTTTTTTTTTTTTTTCGTAGAAAAGTTACCTTAAAATTTAATTTAATTGAAAAGAGAAGTGCACGACGGTGTAAAGGTGATCTTTACAGAGAGAGAGAGAGATGTTTATGAAGCATTTCAGCCACATTAACATAGCAAAGTCTATTAATTGATTTGGGTTCTAAATTACCAGCGTCTCTGTAGTGAAAGCGTGAGATACGATGATCTCATGAAATCACATGGACAACCATTCAAATTTAAAAAAGGGAAATATTTTTAGAATGGTCAACCCACCTCAAAAGTTCAATGAGGCGGTGAAATCAACCATTTCTTCTACAAATTTGTTGCATTTGATGGATCCTTTCATTTGAAAACCTCTTGTAGAATCACATAAACGATTTAAATGCCCTTGTTTAAGTGAAAACGTTTTCATAATGGAAAAAGTTTATACAAGGTTGCAACCTAAAATGTAGAATTAAAGTGCACCTCAAAAATCCCGCATAAAAGTTCCTTTTGATTTTGGAAAACCCTATAATTGATCATCCCAATATCGAGATGTAGGGAATATGAAAGAAAAATTTCTAGTCCTATAAATAGTTTATCATGCAGCACATTGTCTGGACCGTCTGTTTTCAAGATTTTAGATCTACTTGATCTGAACTATTTTTGGAGTTTAAGATTTTATAATTAGATATGAAAATGTATTCTCAAGCCATCCTAACAATTTTTTACATAAAATTATATTTATATTAAAATTTGGAGGTGCGCTTTACTTTTACTTTTTTAATTTATTTTTTATAATTCCTTTTTGATTTGCCGATCTGTATCATCCTGTCATGCGATCAATTTAGCCTTTGGATTCATTTTTTAAAGGAAAAGATTATGCTTACATTGAAAAATATTCTTTTCATGTTGTGAAACCTTCCTATTGATCATCTTAACTTCGATAAGTATAGATATGAAAAAAAGAGTGTCTTGTAACATATTAAATGGTATATCGGTTTATAGAATGTGTTTATAGATTTGCTTGATTTGTACCACTTTAATTTTGTGATTAGGGGTAGAAATAGATTTTTAGGTTATTGATTTTGTGATTAGGGGTAGAAATAGATTTTTAGGTTATTGTAAACGTGTCTGGCACTAAAATTGTTAAGCAAGTATAGAAGTGAGCCTAACCTTTATATGATAAAGGAACAAATTGTTTAAGCCTAGCTCTAAACAATCAAATTAGAGCCTACCTTCAAATAGTATCGAGAAATGTGGTTTCACTATTGAAAATCGCCTTAAAATATATTTATATTTTTATTTATAAAGTTTAAAGCTTCAAAAATAGTGTAGATCGATAAATCTATGAAAACTTGAAAATCTTGAAAATCGACGTTCCAAAAATGCATTACAAAATACACTATTTTCGAAACTTAAAATCTATCTTTTTTTCTTATGTCTATGCATCTTGATGTCGAGATGATCAATTTAAAAATATAATTTGTTTGTTTAGAGCGTATATGAACTTTTCCCTGGTAAATACGTCAAACCTTACATATCTGCAAATAAAAAGGGTACACTCCGGCTGAAAATAAGACAGATGCTTTGAAAACATTTGGAAGGAAACCTAATTTTAACAGCACTCACCCCCACCCCAAAAGAAGAGGACCAACAAAGCGGACTCCACGCCCCCATAAAGTCAGCCTACTAAAACGCCTTTACGAACCGTTTGGCGTCCGCCATTCCTCTCTCTATCTTCTTCCTCTCCTTCCATGGACTGCCGTCAATCCCTTCGCCACCATCTTCCCCACTGAACACAAAACCCTAATTTTCTCTCTTTATATCTTTCCTTACTCTGATCTCCTCACTTTGTCTCTCTATTGCAACTCCAAAAAACCAGGGGTAGGGTTTTCCCCTAATGGCATACCGTAGAGCCCTGTCCTCTCTCATCAGGGGTGCCAAAACCGTCAGATCTCAACCGTCGAGCCTCATCAATAGAGGACCAGAGCTTTACAGGCCGATATCATCTTCTTCGGGCCTTCTTCTCGACAAAGTTGCACAGTATGCGACATCGGCCGCTGCAACTCCGTCGCCTCCACCCCCTGTAGCAACTCCTCCCGGTATTGGTAAATATGGACCTCTTGGTACGATCACTGATGAGTTCACGGGGGCTGGAGCCATTGGGAAGGTCTGTCAGGTGATTGGAGCAGTGGTGGATGTGAGGTTTGATGAGGGGTTGCCTCCGATCTTGACTGCATTGGAGGTTTTGGATAACTCCATAAGGTTGGTTTTGGAGGTGGCTCAGCATTTGGGGGAGAAAATGGTGAGGACCATTGCTATGGATGGGACTGATGGGCTTGTCAGGGGCCAGAGGGTGCTCAACACTGGTTCTCCCATCAAGGTTAGTTGGGGTTTTGTTCTTGAGTTGATCTTTTTAAAATTAGGTTTTTTTTTCTCCTGATGTTTTATTTTCATTTTCGTTTGTGTGCTGGTGAGAGAGAGAGATGATCCACCACTATTTAACTGCCCTACCTCTGTGAGGGAGGGAGGGAGGGATTGGTCTTTGTATTTGTTGGAGTATAGCTGGGATGTATTGGTGTTTGTATTTGTTTGGAGTATGCAGGCTGAAATAGTGTGATTATGGTGTAATGGACTGTCTGGATCAGTATGCAAAAATGTGATATTTGGTAGTGTTTCAATCGCTTATAGATAGTGCTGATCCAAATTGCTTGATCTTATCTCTATCTCTCTCGTTTAGATGTATGGTTTCATATAGCAAAGTTTTGTACTTATAGATTTATCTTTTTATAGATAACCATGTTTATCTGCAACTGGTCATTGTGTTGATTGCCGAATTATTTTCTTTTTTTTTTAACAGGTACCAGTGGGTAGGGCTACACTTGGTCGCATTATCAATGTCATTGGGGAACCCATTGACGATAGGGGTGAAATAAGTTTGTTTCTTCAAATAGTTTGCGTCTATTTACTATTCCCCATTCGGCATTGCCATTTCCTAACGAGTGTTCTAATAACTAAAATTTTTTCTTATTTTTTTGTTCTTTTTATGTCTTATTTCTGCATCAGAGACTGATCACTATTTGCCTATCCATCGTGAAGCTCCTTTTGTTGAACAAGCAACTGAGCAAGAGATTCTTGTTGATGGCATCAAGGTCTGTTCTAATTCTTATCTATTGATTCTGATCCATTTGTTGGAGTTTCCTTCGCTTTTAATGTGACATAAAAATTTTCGTGACTATTTGGGTTTGTACTCCTGACTAAAAATTGACTACTATTGAGATTTTTGATATATTTGCAATTTTTGCTTACAATTTTCTGCTTCTTATCTCCATTGTAGGTCTTTTCATTAACAAGAATAAATCTATATTTGAGGCCTGTTTGATTTATCCACTATTGGTACTTTTAGGTCATCGACTTGTTGGCACCTTACCAGCGTGGTGGAAAGATTGGGCTCTTCGGTGGTGCTGGTGTTGGTATCTACCCTACTGTGGATCCCCTTGATTCTAGGTTGTAATCACAGAATGAACTATTTTATATGAGACATTTCATAACGTATTCATTGGAACCTTAGATCAGTAATTCATAACGTATTCAATGGAACCCTAGATCAGTAATCATATGAAATAACACATGTAGTTTATGCACTATCTACATTTTTTTGTGTGTTATTCATTGTACCTTTTTTTCTTTGCTTTTTACTTTTAAATGAAAGAAAATGCTCTTTAAGTCGAGAACACTAGAGGTCAACTCCAATCACCTAGTGGGTGAATCTATGTCAGGCATGGTTTCAAATCACTTATGTGTAGTATGCGTCTTTTTGTCATGTCTCTCTCGTGAGAGAGACTAGCGTCTATGTATGGCTCTATCCAAGGAGCCCCACAGGTTCAAACCACCTCTTTAAGTCAAATTTTTCCATTTTCCATCAAGTAGAGAATAGTAGCTTTTCAGTGCGCACCTCAATGCATATGACATCGCATATGACATCATTTGCTAGGTGTCTTGGAAAAGGTCAAAAAATCCCTTAAAAGCATTTTGATCCATATAGGCAGTAAAGATAATAATAATGATAACTAAATAAAAGATAACTGTTAATCACAAGGAATCGTATGTTTAATCGAGGAGCTACGCACTCTGCCTTCATTCAAGAAAATCACTATCATTAAGAAAAATAAAAAGCCAACTTACATCATGTCTCAGCCATAACAATATAAAATCAAACTACAGTTCTTGCAGAAAATAGGGGAAATGCATCAAATTTTAAGATCAACAAAACAAGCAGATTTTCTTTCTGCGAATGCACGAATAAAATGATGAATTGGTCGAAAGAATTTAAAATTATAGAGTCAAATGAACAGATTTCCAAAATCTCTCCACAAAAGAGTATTATGGCTTAAGAATTAGCAAACCAGCATGAAAAATAAGCAAACTAGGATTGATAATGAGTTTTTCAATCCAACGCATTGAATAAGAAAAAGAAGAGTGAGAGCTGGGAACCTGGAGCTGAGTGGATTTTCAGGAGTAGGAAGTGAGAGAAAATTGCTCGTCTCCACATTGCTCTTTGAATTTAGAGAGAGAGGGATTGGGTTTAGTGGAGTGTTTTTTTTGTTATGAATGGACCCATTCCATTTATCCCGTCTTTATACCAGGGTTTCACATCATTGTAGGAAAAATAGGCGGTCCAAATTCTAATCATCCGCCTAGGCAATTAAATGGGATTAGGCTACTGGCGGTTCTGATTTTAGTTGATTTTGGTGAAATGGTTGGATATTTAAAAATAAATTGAAAAAAATTATATAAAATCTCAAAAAATAAAAATAAAAATTTATAATGTATTTTTTAAATTTTTTATTGTTTTGAAAATGATTAGAAATTCTTTTGAGAATTAATACTTTTAACATTTTCCCGTTTTTTTTGAAAAATTCAAAATACATAAATAGATTTTTTAAAATCTACTTTCTTTTTATTAATTTTCAACTTTGAATGTGTTTTGTTTAATCATGTTTTAAAATATATTCAATTAAGCAGGTTAAATCGACTGGTTTATCAATTAGGCCGGTTGAATCACTTCCTGCCCCAGTTCCAGTTAACCGTTCCGGTTCGATTTTGCGTTTCACATGTTTCATAAATTCTTGCTTTCTCGTTTTTTATAACAGTTTGGGTCTTCGGATCATAGTATAGGAGTAATACTTCTGCTAAAAGATTTCCTACTCCCAGGGGAGTATACTATCTATAAACTCCCTGGGGTGAAATTTAAGGTAGGAATATATTTTAGATCCCAAATTTGGAGATGTGATCTTTAGAACCAAGCATCAAGCTCAATGAAAAATTTAAAACTCTCACTCTTTACATGTCTTAAAAAATGGCATTCCAAGATTGCATTATAACCATTTAATTTTTGTAAGCAGGCAATAATCTAGATATTCAAGAACTTAAATTCCAATTTTTTTGAAAATGATGAACTAGTTATAATTGGATGGATTTCAAAATTGTAAATCAAGAACATCCTACCAAATAAGTGTTTTACGCTACGGAGCAAATGTATAGTATCTCTCAACAGAGCATATTACACATGCTTGCTTCGTTCGTGTCTTCTTTGTTCTTATAAGAGTGGCAATAGGCCATGCCTTTATCCCATAGGGCTAGCTGAGGCCCTAGCCAGACCAGTCCAAGGTAGGCTAGGCTAAAGGCAAATAAAGAGAACTCAGGGTAGGGCAAAGACAAATGAAGAAAAAATTATATAAAAAAAAGGACTTGCCAAGCCAAACCGCGTCGGCACTAGCCCTAATAAAGCCCTCGAGCGATAATTTGTAGCCCACGCCTTTCATTTTTACAGTTATGTTGCCTGGCTTATTGCGAGCCAACCATAGGATGTGAGCGCAATGTTTTGAAACCAATCAAATTATTATATAGTGATCTATCAGGACCATTAAGGTTTTGGAATGGTAGTGTCCTAGCCATTTTTCCTTTCGCAGCATAT